AGTCCTTTATAGAGATCCAATGTTTGATAAAATCTGTTATTGTGTACAGTCCTTTATAGAGATCCAAGTACAATTATATGACCTGGATGCTAACAAAGATCTAAAAGTCTGTTTAGTTGGAAACTCGGATTCTATTTTTTTGTTTCTAGTGGAATCAGTTTTTTTGTTTCTAGTGGAATCAGTAAATACGCATTTGACAGGATTTGGGAGATTCGTTTTTTAAAACTGTTTTCGGATTCTGTAATCCAAACGGTAGAAATTCTAAAACAACATTTTTATCTTTTCAGTGTTTTCAAATTCAGAATTTGGAAATTTTAAGATGCATAATTACATTAGAAAGGATAAGAATTTTGATAAATATATTACTTTCATATTATAAACTCATTTTATGTTTGTTAAAATTAAAACATGTAAAACACAATGTATTCTAAATTATATAACCTTGTAAAATAATAATTATACAAAATTAATAAAAAATGTTAATAAATTAATTAATAAAACTTCATTAAACTAAATATTTAGTTTGTAACTACTTCTAGTTTACCGATATATTACTAAACACACATTGAACAATTTTTTAAATTGATATTCAATTGYCAAATTTGCTATCAAACACATATCTAAAAACAAATAATACAACTAACTCTAGTTTTCATTGAATCTCTTATTTTCAAATTTCTATTTTCTGATTACCAACCAAACGCACCCTAATTGTTTAAACTCAGAATTTTAAGGGTCCAAAAAATTGCTATGAACTTAGATGCTATCTAAGAATGTTTTGGAAAAGAGTTCTCTGCCCTTTAAAATTGAACTTGATTTTTTGATGTTGTTTTTCTCTTGTTCGTTTCCTAGTTTATTTTCAGGGATGCCTAAAATAAATAATAATTGAAGTTATTTTTCCTCCCAAAACCTTAAGATTATGAATATGACCTCAAGTGTACACTAATCTTAACTTTTATAGATCCCTCAAAAAAAGTTCTTAAAAAAAAACTGTTTTTGGAGAACAGCAGCGAGAAATCTTACCATTCCTGATCCAATGAGGTACTGGATGGTCTTTTCAATTTTCTTCATATCAACTCGTCCCGACAGGTAAAGGTACTTATTCAGAAGGTCGCCATGCCTATTCTCTTCAGCAGTCCAGGCCCTTGTCCATACTGCCCATGAGGTGAGGCTTGCACCCGTCTCATCCCGGACACCGTCCAGGGTGTTCAGCATTGTCTGGTAAGTTGGAAGTGCTTCTTCAGTGATCATATCCCCAACCAATACCACAAAATACTCATCAGGAATATCCTTTGATCTCTCCCTTATTTCCTTGACCTGGTCATAGAAACCGTCAGACTCCGGGTCTGGAAGATAATCTTGAGGTTGCCAACAACTTTCAACAGGCTTTAGGTAAGACAAAATGTTCTTTTCTGCCCAATCATCTAACGATCTAAAGATCTCCATCTTTTGAGGTGGCATGGAGTGAGTCACTTGAACATGAACTTCCCGGGGAGGTAAATATGGATTCTTTGTGCCCCCTGTCTCTCTGTGAAATAGAAGAAACAATGGTGATAAGTCGGTCCTCAGTCATATAATTCAGAAACTATCTTTACAAGATCAAAAAATTATTAATAGTTTGAAAGAAGAGGATCATCAAAACTCAGTCTCATATGAGAGTCTCCAAGTACAGTTTCACAAGCAACTCCATTACAGAAATTATAAGTTAATTCTGAATGAGCTACTGCTATGACAACTAAAGCCTGTAGTTAGTAGAGAGCAACATATGCCTTTAGCCATAAATGCAAACGTAGCACAAATGTAGAGAAGAAACAAAAAGAAAACATGAACCCACTTACAAAATTGGCCATGATTATATCCAACTGTTTTTGTATAACTTCTTTAATGTAATATCAAAATTTGATTGGAGTATTACATCCACAAACACATATTTAACTAATGTATAAAAGACATCAGCAAAAAATTGCTTACTTTCGTCGGTCAGAGTCTAAAATCATCATAGAATGTTTTTATTAATTATTGTTTCTCTAACAGCAATTATATGAAATAGTTTTAAATGTTCTGGTCAGGAGTACAATTTGTATCACTGCCACCAATTTATTGTGCCTAGAATTCCTCAAGTTGACAGTTTTATCGTTATAAACATCAGTATGTCATTACGTAGTATGATTTTTCTCTTCACWAAAAGAGCCTCAAATACCCATTTATTTCTTCAGAGAATAATACACAACACTTGCAAATAATACCAACCACCTACCTCTAGAATGTGTTTACAAAACAAAGTTCAACATCAGAAATGTGCAAAGTAAAACTATGAAATCAGGAAATGTTTTACATGCACAGGTTTAGAATAAGGGTATGGCTAAAATAAACATTGACAGCACAATATCCATAAAACAAACATAAATGCACCATAACAATCAGATATTTTTTCGAATTTTTCTTCTAAGGTGAGGAAAAACAATTGTGTAGCTGAGAGAGACAGAGAGAGAGGGAGAGGGATTAGTTATATTATCTACTAAATAATAAATAAACTCATATAACCTTATTCATTTATTTTTATAGCCTACTTTCTATAAAAGTTTAAAAAATAGTAGCCAAATTTTAAAAAATAAAAAAAGGTCTACTTTTTCTTCTAAAATTTAGCTATGAACTCAGGATTGTGTTCTTAAAAGGCAAAAGATAAAGAAAGGAAATTGTTAGCAGAGAAGCCTAGTTTCTAAAACACAGACTAAAATCAAAATCATTGTCAAATGGGATATTAGTTAGATGTAAAAGCAAACTCCACTCAGTACAAAAACATCAGCTAGATAAACTGAATAAACAAAAATGAAGAACCTCTGCAAGAATATGAAGTAGTAATAGTTCAGAAATGTCACAATGTCACAATGTCACATGTCAAAGAATAAAAAATAAAAAATAAAAACAAAAATAGAACGCTGCATTCAATGCGTAATATGGCTTAATTTAATTTTGATGAAATTAATGTAAAAATACATAGAGGGTAATTTTGGAAATTCAAACATTACACTAGAGTGAAATATGTGTGCGGAATCCGTACAAGCATGCTGTATATGAACGTGTGTGTCTGTTTGAGAAGAGATGATCACAACAGAAATTTTTTTTTTTCATTTTTCTTTTTTGATATCGGTCTGTTCTGGCCAATTTGTGCGCACCTAGACTAATCACGACATTTGGTTGACAAGACAACTTGTAGGATATTAACTCCTACGTAGATGGCCACGGTATGAAGTTCAGATAGCAGGTATGTTATGTAGAAACAGAGAGCGAAGAAAACATATATTTAAGAGAACAATAAATCAAATGAAAAAAAAAACTTGCGGATCACATCCACCCATTTCAATGTTTTTCAACCCCATTAATTAAATAATAGAGACCTAAGTTCTAAGCGAAAATTGAAATCTTGAAAGAAAGTAATTGAAGGTATAATTAAAGTTTTTACATAAATACAACGTGGACCATCAATAATTAAGAAAGAAGACCATTCTACCAACATGACCTAACAATAGGACCAAAAAAGCAAAGAGAAATAGAGAAATAAGACTGGTAAATAGCGTTAGGAAAAGAATGACACAGGAAAATCTATTCGGTCAACAACATGATTTTATAACATTGCTGATAGTCGAACAAAGAAATTAGAAGTTAAACAAAAAATAACTGATCGGTGGAACCGGAGACTTCCCTTCTCAAAAATTGTGGCAAGCATGAAGAACAGAAAATCAAAAACTGCTTTAATTTTGTAATATCACAGTTCTAAAGAAAACCCAAATCCCTTGTGGTTGCACATTTATTTTCCAATTTTGGGGGAGGCGGAGATTCCGAAGAAAAAGAAAATCCCTAAAAGATACAGAAGCACAAGGCGAATAAAAGCAAGGGTGACCTAAAAAGTTGAAAGGAAATCAAACTGGAATCAATAGCAAAGCTCAATTAGTCGAAGAGAAAGCGTTGGATACTCACTTGGAGACTGAGTGAAGCGTGGAGGCCATGAGAGGGGCCGGAGATCTGCGATTGTGGGAATTGGAAGGGAGATTTCGACATGGGAGATTGAGCTTAAGAGCCATTTTGCGATGAAGGAATTGAAATTGAAATTGAAATTGGGGGAATTGTTGTATGAATTTGGAGAGGGAGAGTATAAAAAGGGGGAAATTCTGCGACAGAGACGGCAACACCTTTAACTCCAAAACTTGCAATTTGCCACTCTTACTCTTAATTACACAATTGCCATCCACTTTTTCCAACACCGCCGTCTTCCCATCCGAAATTATACGGTCATATTTCAACCGATTAAAAAATATAAGTATTTAATATTGTCATCGACGTAAATGTCATAGATGGCTCAATTTCATGGAAATGTCGATGAAAATATCGATTTGATATTTATGAACCTTTGGAAAATGACAATATTCATTAATTATTAAAGGTTAATTGAAAATCTGTAAAAATTTTATCCACGCCTTTTCAAAGATTGTTATGAACTTTTGAAAGATATGCAATATTCATTAATCCCCTGGTCTTCTCCTCATCACCTTTTTGTTTGGCGGTATTTTAATTCTCACAATTTTTCAATGAAAATCTAACAAAGTACCTAACATTTAATTACTAACCAAATAATCATTATAATATGGCTAATATGCATGCATACATTATATATATATATATATATATAAAAGTGGATATTTATAAAAATACTTTTATCATTTCAAAAGTTTTAATACGGCTCGCTTTCATAAAAATTTAAAAAATACATTTTTAGAAGTAGAAAAAAAAAGCAAAAAAATATTTTGAGCAAACATCCATTAATATTTTGAACGAAAAATTGACATGTCAAAATCTAGAATGACGTAGCAATTAATATCCCAATTTTACTTTAAAAATCATCTTTCTTAAAGATGAGAGTTTGTTTCTTTGTTGTCTACCCATTTTTTTCCTAATCCTCTTTCTAAAAATGATTGTCATTTCACATTTCTTCTCTTTTTAGACTTAATCGAAGCAAGGTTCCACATTAATTGTCACATCGTTCCAAATGTTAACTTTTTGTTCAAAATATTAAAGGATATTAGCTAAAAATGGTATATTTGACACGTCAATAAAAATGCCAGAAGTAGTATTATACGTATATTTTGAAATGGAAAGTTAGAGGTTTTTTTTTCTTTTTCTTTTCTTTATTTAAGTTCATGAGTCAGATGACTTGGAGAGTACACTTCCCATGGTGGTTTTTGGTTATCTTTTTTTTTTATTTTTATTTTTTACAAGGGTATGTTACGAGCAACTCTTTTCAGTTCAACAACTATGCTATTTTTCTTTTTATGCATCCTGTTTTCAACTTAAAAAATGAAAATTTCTTAATCTACGCTACCTTTTTATTTTAATTTTAACTATTTTTTTTYCCTTTTTGATATATTTTGTCCACTTATTTTTCTGATAAAGTGGATTAATTACAGAGAATTTATAGTCGGTGATCATATTTATCACCCCATTTTAAAAAATGGCCAAATAAAACTTCCATGATCTCTAGATTCTATTTTCCTTGATTCTAGTTTTTTTTTTCAACCAGGAACAAAAATCAAGCGATAAACCGGAATCGAGTGAGAAACAACGGTGTAATAGAATTGGTTGCAAGTGGAGCAACAGGTGGCAGATGGTAGAGGAGAGAGAGGCTTGCTGAGCGTCAGGTGGCAAAGGGTAGAGTAGAGAGAGGCTTGCTGAGTTTCTACTTACGGGCCTATATGTTGAGTTCTATTATGTACCTTTTTGGTTAGAGGTAGAGTGTATTAATTGTTCACAAAAATTTTGAGGTGTTGTTCATCATATTTGTTCACCATATTTGTTCGTATTTATTTATGTGTTCACCTTATTTATTCATGTGTCGTATTTACCGTCGTATTTGTTCATCTATTCATCTATTTGTTTCCCTATTAGGTCTTACTATTTATATTTCTAATTACATTTTGTTTATTATATATTCTTTAAGATTTTATAGTATCATTTTCGAGGATGATTTTATTGTTTAGATCGTGTGTTTTTAGTATAATTTTCAGTAATGAGTTTTAAATTTAAATTTAGTTTTATATTTTAATTTAATTAATATTTTTCCTTAGGTAAGATTCTCAAAATATTTGAATTATTCCATAAAATGGTAGGAAAAATATAGGTAGAATTATCCTATAAAAACAAAAAAAATAATATATTTATTTTAAAATTACGAGAGGTTGTTTCATAACTTAAAAAATTAGCAGAGATCTTCCTAGTTTTACCTTGTTCATTTTTCRAAATTGGAAGTTGTTTGACCATTGTTTTAAATGACTTATTTTAAATGTCTATATTKGTTGTTTCCTCCTAATTATACATTGAGTATAAATGAGGGGAAACTTTCCAAGAAGGGTTTTTTTTTTTCTTTACTAACACTTTATTGACTTGGAGATTGATCCTTTTCCGCCTATAACACATGAGATGTTTCATCATTTTAGCAAGCTCATATTCTTCTTATCGAACAAATAGAATTTTCCAAATCCCTTTTTTGTTTTTAAGAAAAGAGCTCTTATCTTTTAGTCAAAAATAAAATTGAGTCTTAATATGTTTAATAATAAAGACGAGTTTGATTCATTAAATTCTTCAGCTTATCAAGGAAAAGGATCAAAAAGAAAGACAAAATGACATCTTTATTTACAATTAAAAGGAACAAACTCAAATAAAGTAGGGTTTAATTTTGGGTCATTCATGGTGAACATGATTATTATGCTAAGAGTCTCCTTAATCCCTTCATTTATATGCCACATTTAAGAGAGATTGAATTTGGTACTTCATTTATGTGCTATAATAAAGAGAGATTTAATTTGGTGGGAAATAAAAGAGACTTTTTTTTAGGTAAATAATAATTGAGAGTAGGAAAAGTTGAAATTACTGTTCCTTCCAACCCATTATGATAGAGACAAATAGGAATAATCCAACCACATCTGCAAAATGTAGTGCTTTCATTTTTTCTAAACAATTTAAAAGAGCAGGAGAAATTTGGGCTAATTATTAAATGTCACGTCACAAATTTAAAATTATATTTATGATCAATCACAAATTTATACTTGTTCTAAATTAATTTTTAAATCGACGAATCAAATTGCGCCACGTATCTMTCTTATGGTCGTTCCATGAAATGAATATCAAAACCCACGAAGAGACTGGGTCTAAACCTATCCCTCTCATTTGAGGGGAGGAAGGATTCGAAAAGAGATTTAGAAGAATTGGAGATTTAGAGACTCAGAATCAAGCAACAATTCTTGAAGACTCTATCAAACTGCAAGGTCTAAGACTTCACAAAGTCTTCATCAAACTACAAGCTAAAGAACTTTATCAATAAGTTAAAGTCTTCAATAAGCTCAAAGCCGAAGACTTCAAAGGTCCTTTGACAAGCAAGAARCTGAAGGCATCAACCATTGATTCAAGAATAAGCTCACGAGCCCAAAGTTTATATTTGAGATAATTAATCAGCAGATTATACATTAGAGATTGTAACACCCGCGTACATAAATACAAATACAAGTTCATTAATTTGAGTTTTCTCTTATTGAATTTCTCGTCGAACACTAATATTGCAAATTTTAAAACTGGTTTGTTTTCTAAAGTTTGGCTAAAAATTCAAATGTATTTTTAGAAAATGTGAAAATTAATATTAAAGAAAAATGGTAAGAAAAGAAGCATAAAACTAAAAACAAAATATCAAATGAAACGTCTCAATTTTTTTGCTCGAAATCTCTCCCCTCTTTGATGATCTGTGATTAAGATTTAGGGCTGATTTTCATCCCTGTTCTATTACTGCAAACAATGGATCATAATTTTTTTTTTTTTTGGGTAGCTTCAATGGAGAATCCAATGGTTAATTGTTTGACAAGTTTTTGTTAGTCCTTGAAAAAGCCAAAACAATGGTGAAATCATGGAGTTCAACAAAGGAGGTTTTTGGATTAATTTCTATAATTTGGCAATGGATTGTAGGAGTAAAGCAATGGGCATCCGGTGGGGTGGGGAGTTTTGAAGAAGTTGATTGTGATGACAATGAATTTCGGAGAAAATTTCTTGTACTACGAGAGTGAAATACAAAGCGTGTATGTATATTTCTTGTACTACGGGAGTGAAATACAAAGCGTGTATGTATAGAGAGGCTTAGAGAGGTGTTTTCTTGAGCTCTCTTGAGTTTGTAAGGGTACAATTGTAATCAGTAGAAGAAATTCCGTTTAGTACTTTTTATCTGATTTTTTGTGAAGAAAAAATTAGTAATCTCTTTATAGTGTTTATGTTGTCATCTCGATTCTTTGAATAATGGCAACGAAGAGTGAATTAGAAAGTTTTGTTGGTGAGACTAATTTCAGCTTATGGAGAAAGAAAATGTGTGCAAAGTTTTGTTGGTGAGACTAATTTCAGCTTATGGAGAAAGAAAATGTGTGCGTTATGATAGCGACTGAGGCTTTGGATAAGCCTGAAACCTTACAAAAACTATCGCTGTAGAGCAAAGAGTCGATTCTGCTAATGTAGTTATTGACTCAAGCTCCGGTCATTATGTAAAACTCTTGAAAATACTCCTTGCACCATTTATTTCTTTTTTTATATCCATTTATCCAAACCAACTTGCACGCACCTCGATTAATCATAAGCCAACCCACCTGACCCTACTATATTTGGTTGACAAGAAAACTCGAAGGATATTAAATCCTAATTAGATAGCCACCGTAGTTTGAACTCGTTCCTTCTAAGCCCTTTGTTATTTACATTGGCCCCTATTGACCAGTGGACTATCACATGATGATTCCCTGCATCAATTAGAAAACGATTGCAGAGATAATAAGACTAATTCATAAACAACAATTCTAATAGTATATCTTCTAAGCATTTTTATATGTTGAATAATATATATAAACAAGGTTTTAATTTTTATATGTCAAAAAGTAAGTCTATCTTAGTTTTCTAAGAGCAAGTGCTCTTCCAAACAAATTTTCAACCTCACTTGCTTCCATTTTTAGCTCATTCAAAAGATCACTCTCTTCTTTTGACAACTCCCTAAGGAAGAACTCCTCATCCTGTTGGAGTTCTTTCAGACCTTCTCCCAACTTCTCTATCAATGTCATTTCTGTTTTCCCCACCTTCTCCACCTCCTTCTCCACCTCCTGTTCAATCTGCACCACCTCCTTTTCCACCTCTTGTTCGATCTGTTCGACTTCCCTTATGATCGTTTGTTCTCCGCTTTCCAATGTCTTCTCCAGTCTTTCTACAAGAGGTGGCTCGGGACCGCACGAATTGTCTGTTCTTATGAACCTGTTGAAGTCTCTCCCTACGCTCTTAGCTGCCTTTTCAAGCTCGGGAATTATGCTTTCTGGCAGTACTGCACTTCTTGTGTATACTACAGCTCCACCATAGCCATCCCAAGCATCGTTCCGACCACGATAGTAAACGAAAATGTAATCGTCTGGTTTGTTCTCCACCTTGCTTGATAGAATATACCTGCATAATTTGAGAAGGAATAATATGGATCATGGAGCCCCAACTTTACCATAAGTATCAACAACAAGATTCAAGGCTAAAAAGCTACAACGAGCCATGGTGAAGCTTAATTAAGTTACAGTAACTTCGGCCGAAGATGAGGAGAGAGAAGGGGAGCACCAAGACAACATAGCCAAAGGGTTCCTAATTCAATTCCTATTTGAGACCACTGCACACATCGAGCCAAATGCACTTGATCTGTTTCATTACCCTTTTTTACCAGACTTTTCTCTTTTAATATTTCTTCTATTTTCATTTGTGCTCAAATAACAGAGAAAGACTTTGGTCCATTGGCTATCATCTTAGTAACAACTACCAGCAGTCATCTCCTCTTCCGTATATTTTGCGATTGAAATAAAAATAAAGGTAAGCAATAATAAACAAGGAAAGTGGTAAAGGGCATTTGAGTTATTTCATTACATCTACATACAATGCACGATAGTGGATGCCAATTAATTAGGGGTGGAACTAGAAGTTTTGACAAGTAGAGGAAAAATTTTCCATTCTAAGTCTAACTTACATGTCAATTCTAAAGATTAAGGGGATTCAGGGGGCAAATCAGTGGAAAATTTTTTAAATCTTAAATCTAAGATRAGGGGCCATTCTTTCTTCTTTGCTCGCTCCCTGAGTAGATTTGGCCAATGCAAAATCAGGTACTAGGAAGTTTGATCATACAGTAATGGAATAAAAGCATACCAGTCATCCTCGTAGTGAAGATACTCATTGTTGTGGTTGTAGAGTACCCCAGGATGTGCAGGATCTTGAACAAATCTCTGCACAGTTGATCTTGTAAAGAAACCGCTATCTGGAGTCCGTATTCTCCAAGTTATATTTCCAACAAGTTTTCCAGACTCCACATGAAATTCATGCAACTGACAATCAAATGTATCAAAAGTGGGGTTTAAGCCACTAGTGATGAACCACTTCCCACTGAAATCTGATATATTGAAACTCTGAAAAAGAACAGACGGGTCGGGTACAGGAAATTCCCCAACATCGGATTTCATAGGCACACATTTCTTTCGGGATACTGCACATTCATTAAATTCATCCACTACACTGTTTTCAAACAGGTCACCACATTTAATCTGCAAAAGAGAAAAAAGAATTAGTTACTTTCCTTACGTACTTCAATCATGTGAAGCAATATGTAGAGCCAAGAGAACACACTAACTTGGCATTCGGTCTCATCGGGTCGATTATTGCAGGTTTGGAGACAAGCAACATTGGCAGCACATAGTGGGTTTGAAATGCATTTGGCAAGTTCAAGCCTGACATAAGGGAACAGAAACCAGTTTTATTATATTTTTAGTGTCCGCATTTTTTTTTTTTTTGGGTTTAATCTTTCTAATTTTCTAACTTTTTGGATCAAATTTCTAATACATGTCTCCCACAACTTCTTTTTGGAAATATCCGTATGTAATTGGTAAAATTGATGCTAAAGTCTCAAAAACTATATTCACTACTCATTTAAGCTTCCAGCTATTATCCTCACCAGATTATTCAACAGTGACCCTTGTGTATTTTTTTCTTTCTTTTTTCTTCATAAACTAAAAAGTTTTGAAGGATTCAACAGAGTTGAACTAAAGGATATCGACCAACCAAGGGTAAAATTAGTATCCCAATTTGAAGGAAGAAATTTTAAGACAATCCATATCATTGCAGTTCGCAAAAGGAGAAATCATGTGTGACCAAAAAATTTAAAAAGAAAAGGAAGAAACTTTCTCAAAGTTTTATATGGTACACATGTGACCATATCTTTTGACAGAAAGATTTTCAGATGGAGAAACAGCAAGGGGAGAATGAAAAAAGAAGTAGTGATATCAATTACTAATCAGCAAGATAAATATAATACCTGCATTCCTTCAGCAAGCATGTACATGTTTTGAGTGCATCAACAGCTTGGGATGGTGGAATGATCATGAATGTGCATGTCAGTATAACAACAACTATGCCCATTGATTGTAATCGGCTCCATTCTTGAAGAAAACTTAATGATTTTCCAAAAATAAAGTCAAAGCTTTCTTCCACCTTTTGAAGAGACTGAGAAACAAGGCAAAGCAAAAGGGAAAAAGAGAGAGAGAGAGAGAGAGAGAGAGAGAGAGAGAGAGAGAGAGAGAGAGAGAGAGAGAGAGAGAGAGAAAGAAGTACGTGAAAATCTATCATTATATTGAAACTATAATGAAATTAAGAGCAAGTAAATCTAGGGAGGTACCTTAGGTTTATTTATCTTCATTTGACGTAAGGCAGTCCTTCCTGACCTATGGGAAAGAATTTCTAAACTTCTTGACCTGGATAATCTACCACTTGAAGTAGATTTGCAGAGTAGAAAGTATTTTGAGTATATTTTATCCACAAGTACCCCTTGATAACATAACACCTTTCTTCTGCAAGCATTACACAAATTATAAATCACCATCAACCAAACTAGAATGTTAAAGATTGCTTGGACATTGGAAGGGAATTGGTTTATGAGTTAATTTGAGCATAAAATAAAGTAGGGTAAATAAAATAACTGACGGGTCCACCATATACTATGTTSTACCTCATGATAGGAATAACAAAAACCAAAAAGAGTTAAACAAGGAAATTATCTCTAAAACCACTCAACTGAATTAAATCAAAATAAGAGCTCACATTGGTTAAGAATGTGGAAGCCAAAGAGAATATGTAATTTGAGAAAATAACGTTAACTCCAAAATAATTTGAGGTACTTTGACCCTCCTCTCTCTTGAACACACTCCAGCCTTAAACACCCACAATATTGCCAACTTGAATCCTTTCCTCCCTCTACTTATAACCAACTCCTACTAACAAACTATTTGGCTAAAGACTAAGATACTATTGGTCCCATAATAATATTTCTAACTCTGCCCTTATGATATTCCTAACACAATCATTATTTTATTAGCATTTGAGTTCAAAGGGATCCCAATTTCTGTGGAAGAGAAAGGAGCCTGTATAACTATGGGTTTGACCAACACATTTGCCACTGCCATCCAACCAACCAGCTCAAACTTGAGCTTGGGCTTAGACAATCATAAAAAGATGAAGTATATTACTTATAATGGAGCAGCTCGACCCATTCAACCAGTGTGTTCTTGATACTTGATAGAAGAGACATCCACTATCAATCTCTCTTGATTCTTGATAGTATGACCACGGGTACAAGATAGAATCTGAATTTGGGCTAAACTATACTTGACGTAATCCAAGTATATACATATGAACAAGCTCATTCTTCAAATGTGTCGGAACAAGTCTATATAAATAAGTAAATCTTGCACTAGATCTGACGCAGAATAATCAAATTTCTCCATGCTTCCTTTTTCCCTTTTTTCTTCATCCCCTGTGTTCCAATACTGTTTCAAGTGTAGTTCAGTTCTAAGCACGAGTTGCATTCCTCAGAATCCTTCGCAAGGTATAGCTTTCATTGGAAGAAAATCACTCGCACAGATTTCAAGTAGAAGAAAAGAAATTCAATCTTAAGGAGTTCACTTCAATTCATCTGGTTCATACTTACTGGTTTATCAATGCAGCGTAAGATATATTTGTTGTTTAGTTGCGCAGTACAACGCGACAATTAGATCTAATTCCTGGGGCTATTCAATTCGATAGAAACACTCCCATCAATTTCAGCATTACACACAACCGTGAATCAAAGAACTAGTCGAACCCACCACCAATTTCCAATTTGGGAGCAGTTATTGRCATAAATTGAATCGAAAAACGAAATTACAAGAAGAAAAAAAGCAGACCTGGAAGAAGCGAGAGAGTTGGTGGCGAAGCTTGCGGCGGGAAATGAAGGCGAGGAGGGCCAAGCGGTTTTCATGGCAGAGCTAGGTATTTAGTAGTTTGCAGAGAAAGAGGAAGACGAAGGATGGAAAAAGGGCGGCAGTGTGAGCTTCAGATAAGCCGCCATTTTTGTGTGGAAGCCGTGCGCTCAACGTATTTGCAAGTACTTGACCATTTTTCTCATGAATTCTCAATGCTCATTATTTACTTGAGAAATCAAAGTAAGCCATAGAAAGTTCATCATTATCCATGGAAGAAAATTGTTTTCTAGAATTTGTCCACGTCTTAAAACCAGAAGAAAAAAGGAAAAAACTTTTGCCATGATAGGATGAAAACATATCTATAATTTATAATACATTAGAAAGGGCCTTTGGGATAAACTATTATATGGAATGAGAATTTTGTGATTTCTATATATATTTTTGTAATGACATTGTTCATCACATACGTGACAATTGCATCGTTTTTCTTAGTACATTGTATTGTATTTAATTATGTTGATATTGGTCAAGTTCGCAAATTGAATAACTGAGATTCAATAGAATCATATTACATATCGGTGTAATGCTAGTCACACACACTCCTATACTTAATTCAGATCTAGGTTTGTGTTAAGCGTAGTGAGATTATCTAACCATCTTCTCTTTTTGAATTTCGTGCTAGCCCACTAGAGCTTGGCATACAAGCGGAGCTCAACCCGCGAGCCTYGAGCTCGACCCATAGCCTATTCCGCCCTAGGCTGTCTAGCCTAGTTGGCTCGTACATGCCTTCGCCCTTGCCTTATGATGCTTGGATAATAGGGTTCATGAGAGATTCATGTCCGAGGGCTCGACTTTTGGATCATTCTTGAGCCTAGGGCCATAAGATGATACAAGTTTGCTTCCTAGACTTTTCCAAGGTATATTTGGATCATCCTTAAGCCACGATGATTCTTGGTAGGAATGCACGAGCCCATTTATGCAGATAAAAGCATATTTTGCTTGAGAGGCCAGCCATAGGCACTACCACATGACGCCGGCGCTGCAGCTATAGAAACATTTTTCCGCCCCGATTTTTTGGTGCAGCACTATGACGCTATCCAGATGTTTTCTTTATAATTTTAGGTTTTCCAACTGTTGTTGGAGGATCTTTGGACCCACCTTAGAGAACATGATATAGCTTGAAAATAAAGAGAAAATGAGAAAAGAAGCTTAAATAAGGGATTTTCAAGGCTCGGAATCATATGGTTGTGGGTCAATCAATGGACACGACGAATTTAGTTTATTTCTTTTCTCTTAATTTTTGTAGTTTGTTATGGAACTTTCTTTTGGAGTTTGTTATTTTACATAGCTAAGTTTTTTTTTTTATCTAATGGATTGATGTAATCATAGAATTTTATGAATTGATTGCTTGATTGTTTTGATCGAACGAGTTTGAATGTTCTATTTATGTTTCTATGCTTAATGCCTTTAATCTATTAGTCATAAATTAATTGATATTAGATTTAAAATCTTATGCTCGAAAGAGGTAGTTTAAAGTTAGAATTGGGATGCATAATTAACTAAAAATGTTTTAAGAGATTGAGAGATTTAGAAGCCATTTAGATGTCGTTAAAAAACTTATTCTTTGAAGTCCTAACTTATTATTGATACTAGATAGAGATATTGGTTYCTTAAGGAGATTTAGCTTGGACTTGGGACAGACATTTGAGATTTGAGAATTCTTGGCCAATTTTGAGTAATTAAGTGATCGGTTCATAGATTCAATGGATGAAATCATTCCTAGGACATTTCCTCCCATGATTTTCTCTTTATTATTGTATGTTTATTTTCTTTGATTATTCTATTCTCTCATTCGATTTTGATTCTCTAAATAAATTGAGCGACGGTGAGCTAGAAATTCAATCCAAATGACGATATCGATCTTGACTTACTACTTTTATTAAAACTTGACTCGTAAATTTGCAGTAAATAATTTATGCTACAAAAATTTGAAAGTGAGTAGTTTTATTTTACAAGGAGGAAAGTTGGTGATGGAGAGAAAGCGAAAGATCGGAAAGATAAGTGAGAGAGAGAAAAAAAATACATTTTTAGGAACCAAAAAAATGTTATAGAGGAGAAATGCTAAGAAAGAAAGTCAAAAGATAGAGAAAATTTTAGAGAGAAAAGTTGGGAGAGATAAAGTGAAAGATGGGGTAAAGATAAAAATAAGTTAAAAAGAGAGAAAAAGAAAAGTAACACTTTTTTATGGAGTAAATAAAAAGTAAGAGAGATCTAAGAGTAGGAGAAAATGACAAAATTTTAGAGAAAGATATTGATAAGCGTCACTGATGTTAGGTTTATAAGGATGGAGGTCATTCTAGAATCCTTTAAAACATTCACAAATATTGCTAACTTAACGAAATGATTCAATCTAAGAGTTTATTTAGAAGGATGAATAACTCTGAGATCAAACTTAGAATTATGGTGGTTATTTCTATCTCTCAAGACGACTTATTATCTGGWTCGAGACTAATCCAATGAATCGGTTAAACTTCGAACGTAAAGCAAGAATAGAAAAAAAAAGGAAAAAAAAACACCAAAGGAATTTAAGAAATACAAGTTTTTTATCATGATAGAGCGTTATTTCAGAGCGTTACAAGCCTTTTAAAAAGCTAAAGGGACGTTCAAAATACCAAAGCCAAAAGCCTTTAAAAAAAAAAGAAAACTATTAAATGCACATTTAAGAAAATGAAGATCTAGGAAATTAAAACTCAATTGATGAGATGTCTAAATGTAGAATAAAAAAATGTAGCAATGTTCTAAGTAAATATCTAATGGAGGACCCACTTGACTTGATTAAAATGTTCATCAAGTTTTGACATCACAAGCTCCCAAGAGGTATAATATCGACAACACTGTACACTTTTGTTGTCCCTATGTCATCTTTCAAAACTACAAGACTTTTACCATGTCATCTTCACATCATTCTCTTCTAGACTTGTCGTAGTAACATTTATAAAGAAATTTGAGCTAAAAATGCTCCGTTTCTTCACGTGCATTCGCAAGCCTTAATTCGAAGATGTTATGTGAAAGAGAGGTTTTGAAACCCGAAGGATCTATTAGGTATCCTTTCATTTCTTGTTCCTCGTCCTCTATTTCTAGTTTCTTTTTTTTTATTTTTATTTTTATTCTTTATTTTTTTTAAAAAAAACAAAACATAACTGTTCGAGTAGTTATTTATTATTTTGTTATCCAGAAAATTTTAGATTAAAAAGAATAAAAAATTACATGAAAATTAATTTTTTTAAATTGAATATACAAAAATTTTATGTCATATTTATTTATTTATAATATTTATTGTATACTTCTCAAGAGATYGTGGGTTCGATCTCCATTCTACARCTACTAAAAAAAAATCTTATTATGTGGTTGGTTCCTAATTTGTTCTTAATGCTTTTTTAAAATATTSATGTTTTAATATTTTGATTCTATTTGGCTTTTTAATGAGAATTGCTCAAGATTTTCTGGGTTATAAAATCCAGAGTAAATTTGGAACTTTAAAAATGTTGGGGTTAAATTGAGATCAGCTACTAAGTTTCTATTTTAGTCCTAATCTTTTAATTTGTCTTCTTAAAAAATGAAAACTCTCCATCCACAAATTTCATTGAAATGCAGAATGAAATTTAAAGATTGGAGAATAAAGCAGCTGTAACATTTAAAACTTTAAAGGCAAAATTGAGAGCCATCCATTTCTTTCTCAACTTAATTAAAAACCTAATCCTACTCTTAAAATTTATTTTGGTCCATATAAACTTTACATTTAAACCACCGTTTAAAATTTTCTCATTAAACTTCTGTATTGTATTTAACAAAAATTCTATATTTCGAACCACATGTATCGAGTTTGGTATCAAATCAGAAACAAATTAAAGTGTCCAAAAATTTAAGTCTAACTTTAGTTGGTCCAAATTTCGCTCTTAATTAACATTTTACAAGTTTAAATTCTACCCATTCCTTGTGAGTTGTTTTAAAAAATATCTCATTAGAAACATATCTAACATCAATTAAAATATCGGGCGGGCGAAATTTGCATAAYTCMCGTAACATTAAAGAGAAAATTGAAACCAACATCCATTAGGGCACATTCCATATAATAATCGACCTAAATTCAGTTGTTTTCGAATTATTATCTAGTTTCGTTTTTACTCCAATCTTTTAATTTGAACCCAAAAAAGGAACCTTATTGTTTCTAAAACTCATATAAACATAAATAAGAGATTGAAGTACATGTGCTAGAGAAACCAAACCAAAACCCAATATGTCTTCAAAAGGATAAAATTAAAGCAAAGAAGAGGGAGGTTTCATTTAATAGTAAAAGACTTTCAACCAATTGAGTAACTTCACTTTAGCACAAAACTAGTGGTAGATAAGTTCCAAAAGCAGAGAGATCTCTCCAAACCCTCAACTTACAATTTTAGCCGCATTCATCCTTCTTCTATCTCTATTTGTCAGCAGTTTTTAAATATCGATGTCGATGGAAATGTCGAAATCTCACTTTCATGGAAATATCAATGAAAATATCGCTAAAATGTCGATGTCGATGGATATARAGATCTCTCCAAACCCTCAACATACAATTTTAGCCACATTATTCATCCTCTTTCTATCTCTATTTGTAACCAGGGTTTTAAATATCTCGATTGAAATGTCGAGATCTCAATTTCATAGAAATATCGATAAAAAATATTTCTGTAAAAGTTAGAGAAATTAAAAAATCGTAAAAAAATATTTAAATTAATAAATAAATATCTTTCTATTTCTAAATAAGTTAAAAATGTTTAATATTAAAATTATGTATATMTTAGTGAYATTTTGTTGATATTTTTCATATTATGTCGATTTTTTTTGTACTATAATGGAAATGTCTATTTGTCCCTCATGTCGATGTCGAACCCAAAGATACATGGACATGTCGATGAAAATATTGACATACCGACAGATATTTAATACCATGTTTGTAAGTAGTGCCTAACCACAATTGTTTGCCTATAAAAACACAAGAAGTTGGTTTTGGGAGTAAATTATATACTACTAAACTTTCTTTCTTTCTTGTTCACATTTGTAAGAGGARAGAGAGCTCCCCCATTTATTGCCACAATGATCTTAAGTGTTCATCAACTCCAATTCATCTTTGGTCTCATGGGTATTATTGTTGCATTCATTTTGTTTTTCTTTATGGAATATGGTATATGGCTTTGAGAWAGGGTTAATTCCATTTCCCAAGTACTTGTAATTTATCTTATCTTTTTGCCTTTTCACTTTTTCTCTTGTAGGTAATATAATATCCTTCATGGTCTTCCTGGCTCCTGCGTAAGACGTTATGTATATTTGATATTTTGGCTATGTTTATATTTTTTACAAGTCACTTGATCGTAATTCTATGATATAGTCTTAACAACCTATTAAAAAAAATATACGTAAGATTTTGAGTTCAAATGTATAATAATCTCAATGTTTATAAGTCAACATGAACATATATATCTCAGTTAGGTCAAAATATTACTTACCTCACTAAAGGTTGGAGGTTTCAATCTCCTACTCCATTGTTGAACTAAAAAAAGAAAGCAATAAAAGTTGTTCATAGGCATATTGCAACTCTTTTAGAACCATTCTTACAATTTTTTTTTAACAAAAAAAAAACAACTAAACACCAACCCAAAAACTTCTTAAAAAATAAGGCTATTATCTAGGCTATGTTTGATATTTATTTTTTTCTATTTTAAAAAATTAGGCCTAAAAACACTATTTCCATCAATGTTTTTTTTTTTTATCTATTTTGAAAAATGTTTTTAAAAACTAAAAAAGTAGTTTTTAAAAATTTATTTTTGTTTTTGAAGTTTGACTAGGAATTCATATATATATTTTTTTAAAGAAGGTGAAAAACATGCCGGTGAAAAATCAAGCATAATTATTTCAAGAATGATAAAACAACAGGGCTTTAGATAACCCTTTTTGTTTTGGTTTTTTATTTTTTTTTAAATTAACAAACACATATTCATGTCTAAAATGACACCTTTTCTCGAATCTCTTATACATCCACTTTTAAATTTTCGTCAAATTTCAAAATGATTATCAATCGAAACCTTTATCTTATAAAATTTTACACGTACTTTATTTGAATAAAAGTTGTGTGTGTTGTGTTTAGGCCAACGTTTTGGACAATTTACAAGAAGAAAACATCGGAAGGATTCCAATCGATACCTTACGTGGTGGCGCTGATGAGCGCCGTGTTGCTGCTTTATTATGCTGCCATCAAATCCAATGCCTATTTGTTAATTAGCATCAACTCCTTTGGATGTGTTATAGAACTTTTCTATATATCAATCTACGTCTTCTACGCTACTAAGAGAGACAGGGTCTCTCTCCCTCCCTCCCTTTATGTTTCATTTAATATTAYCGTACAAATATGAGACGAAGATTTGAACMTATKGRTCGGATGTAAAAATAAAGATATATATATATGGTTTATAAGAGAATTAGTTTTGTAGGAAGAAATAATTTTAGTAAGCTTCATTTTAATGGGTGATTCTTGTTTGTGAAGGTATTCACATTGAAGTTGTTGGTGATATTCAATTTTGGGGCTTATGGAGTAATGCTGGCGATAACTATGCTTGTGTTTCATGGGAATAAGCGCACCAATGCTGTTGGATGGATTTGTGCAGCTTTCAATCTTGCTGTTTTTGCTTCTCCTTTGAGCATCATGGTTCTCTCTCTCTCCTGTCTTTTGCTTCTTCTTTGAACATCATGGCTCAAGTCTCAAAGTCCATGGTTCGATCTCCCGAGCTCAAAAAACAAAAAATTGAAACTCCCTCCTCTTCCCTCTCTCTCAAGTGGATGGTTCAATCTCCCGAGTTCAAAAAATAAAAAATTGAAACTCCGTTCCTCTTTCCCTTCTCCCTCTACATGGTTCAATCTCYCGAGCTCAAAAACAAAAAAATTGAAATTTCCTCCCTCTCTCCTTCCTCTCAAGCTGATGTTTCAATCTCCCTAGCTCAAAAAAAAAAAAAAACAGAAAATTGAAATTCCTTACCTCCCTCTCTCTGGAAAAAGGTCGATAGTTCGATCTCTCCAACTCAAAAAACAAAAATAAAATTCATTTCAATTTCAATTTTATTTATCTTATTTAGAAATTAATGTAATCAAATAAAAAGSAGTAACTTAAATTGTTTAAAAAAAATTAAAAGGAGAGTCCACTTATAAAATGTACAAAAAATAAAGAATTTTAAAGGAAAATATAGAGTGAGTTGAAAGGAATATCTTTTTTAGGTCCAAATAACTATTAAGTTTTTAGTTCTCAATTTTTAAAAGTTAAGATTTTTTTAGCTCTTAATTTATTTAACTAAATCTTGATCGAGCATTAACTTTAATTCATTAAGATAAAATTTCTTTTTTGTCTTTAAAATATTGATGTTGATAGTTATTTTTAGAAAAATTATAAAAACAAAAAAATTTCAAAAAACAAATAAAATAACAAATAAATATTTCACTCTTTTTAAATAAGTTTAATTTTATTAATATTAATATTTCGTCCATATTAGTGATATCTTGTTGATATTTTTTATATTTGTCAATGTTTTATGATACCATAGAAAATATTGATTCACCTCTTATATATGTCGATGTCAAACTCATTGACATGTAGAAATGTCAATGAAAATGTTGATATGTTGACGAAAATTTAATACCGTACTTTTTTAATATATGCAGAAGAGGGTGATAACAACCAAAAGTGTGGAGTATATGCCATTTTTTCTCTCCTTTTTTCTCACTCTTTCAGCCACCATGTGGTTCTTCTATGGCTTCTTTATGAAGGATCTATTCATTGCTGTAAGTCAAAACTACAATACTTCAAAACCTAACCCTACTTTATTTCTCATTAAATTGATTCTCCATTTAATTTCTCTTTTTTTTTCTGAATCTTTAATTATCATTAAATTTTTGCACTGCATTTAATAAAAAAGTTTGTGTGTGAGACTTTGCATGTAGATATGGAAACAAATCTCTTTTTTTCAGTACAACAAATGCGGGATGAGAAATTGAAATTTGAGCAGGGTGGAAGTAAATTTAAAACTTTTTTCCAAGGAAGTTATTGTATTTTAAATTCATAATTGCAAATATATCTTTAAAATGAACTTATAAATCACTAGTTTAGGCAACTTAGTATGTTTCTATTTGATGCGACAGAAATTAATTAACCTAAAACGATGATTATTAACTCAAATAATAATTTACTTTTTCTTTTTTTTTTTTGAAATAGAATTAGCTATAACCATGTCACTAACCTAAATATTGATCATTAGCTATAATAATAACTGGTTGGTACATTATATATATATTTTTTTACTACATTTGCAATTATTTTATATGTAGCTAGTAGCCCAAAGAAACAAATTAAGCTCGTATTTTTCGTTTCGTATCGTTTTTTCTCAGCTTCCAAACATCGTCGGGTTTCTACTGGGGATGATCCAAATGATAATGTACATGATATACAAAGACAAAAAGGGAAATAATAAAGAAGAGAAAATTGAAGAAGGAGATGGCCAAAGTTTCTCAAGATCAGTGAAGAATCAAACAGAAAGAAAGGAGATCAATATGGCTGAAAGCAACAACAATAATAATGCATGATAATATATAAAGGGCTTCTTTGGAAATGTAGTGTAAGACAAAAGGGAAACTTCAATGAAATAATAGGTTATCTTTTAAATTCAGTTTTATAATACACCATATATGTTTTGCAATCAATTCAAGTTTATTGATAGCTTTCTATTTTTATTGATTAATTATCAATTTTTAATGGATTTAATTGTTGGTGTTAAATGGATAATCAAAAGAGAGTTTTTTTTTTTTTTTTTTAGTACCGGGTGATCGAACCCACCATCTCTTGATTTGAGATATATGTCAATTATGACTGAACTATGCTCGCTTTGACAATAATCAAGAGAGAGTTAAAGCTTATTGATTTCTTCTTTTTTTTTCTCGAGTAGATTGGATTTTATTTAAGTAAAGATTGGATTTAAATAACAGAAGCCTCACTTTGGAATATTCTAATTAAATTTTATTTATTACCTACATGCATTAAGAAATTGTAAGCTATCATTTAAAAAAGAGAGAGAATGCAAGACACATACATGATTTTTACTTTTAAATATGTGGACTCCACTTAGAAAATATGTATTTCTTTTATTTTTGTAATAATAGGAGAATTTTAAATAACAATAAAATAGGAAAAGAAAAAGAATGAAAAATTTTGGTTTGGAGGGGGAGAAATATGCAAATGAAAATGGAGAAGAGAAGAATGTATTCAAAAAATTTAAATAACAAAAAAAATGAAAATGACATTAAAAAAATTAAATAGTCATAATTACTTAGTAAGAGGGACAATGTACCATTAAAAAGGGGAAGGTAAAATTCCGTAGATTATTTTTACTTTCAAATATGTAGACTCCACCTAGAAAATATATATATTTTTTATTTGTATAATAAAAGACACACTGTATACATAAGTCAAACTTGAACTTAACTCAACAATAATTAACACTTGTCTCTAACTAARAAATCATGAGTTCAAATCTCCACTTCACTTGTTGTATCTAACTCCAACTAAAAGATCGTGAGTTCCAATCACACTTCATAAATGATTCTACTAAACCACGTATTATCAAGACGAGTTCTTCTAATTGTATTACCAGAGAACTATGTTCTTTGAACTTAACTATTCRAAATACTTTCCGAAAGTATGTACATGAAGCAGTTTTCTCACCAAAAAGGACCATCAATTTCAATACACAAAAGTTTAAGCTGAAAAAAATAAAAATACAACATCAAGCATATTAACTGGGCAAACAAAGCCCCCAAAATTCACACACTAGGATTGAAAACCTGGCCTTATGTTAAAGTTGCACAATGAGCCTATCATCATCAGGGTCTCAAAATCRCATCATGTTGTATCAGAAGGGGATGAACAGGATGCATTGCATACAAAGTGGTTCCAAAACAGCTTCAGGTGGTCCTTAAGCATATCAGAGATCACATCAAACTCAGCTTCCTCTCTCTGCCCAAAAAAAAAAGATAACGAACGAAAACGAAATAAGCCAACTGCATTCAACTCGCACAAAAAAGTTGGTATATTCCAAAATTTTCTCTAGAAAGAAACGTCGAAATGCCAACATAGTCCCACGTTAATTAGAAGTGAAGTATACCCAGAGTATATAAGGAAATCAGAGCTTTCTTTGATGCCAGAAAAAACCCATGAACAGTATCATATAGTACTAGAAATATATAAAGGCCTATTGTGTTAACAAGAAATATTATAGCTATAATGCTTTTAGTGCAAAATGCAAGATGGGTAACACAAGTTTTTCAATGGTTTAACAATCGAACACAGGGCAACATGCTAAGAGGAAAAACAATATTCATGCAGTATTAAGGAAGTCGGTTAATCGAGTCAAATAGCTTAAAGAATGGAGGTATAGCTTAAAGAATGGAGGATGCATACAAGTAGTTCGGAAGTAAATTGTTTCAGCTTCAAAGTAATCTCTTTTGTCGCTTCTCCAACCGAAGTCTTGAAATCGTATCGGTCGGCATTTCTTAGTTTGAGCCTCATAAATGCATTTACATAAGACTTGGCAACAGTATGCCAAACTCCAACAACTCTGAATCTGTCCCCAGAGGATGCTTTTCCCAGAGGCCATCTTAAGCCCCCCTTCACATCTTGGTCTAAAACAGCAGAGTTTATAAGATATGCTATGCCTTCCATCTCATCAACCTTGAATACAAAATTTGAGGTCAGTCCCACTTGAGTAAACAAATCAAATTTCAAAAGGGAATAAAAATTTTTATTTTACAGAATTTTTAAGTTTGATTCCAGGTGCATGCTTCTTTTAGCTTCATTCTTCACAAAGGTTGAAACAATACCAAAGAATTCATATTCTTCAGCTTCAAAGTGAAGAAAAAATTACTGAAATTATGAAAACCGTTAAAAAAGGCAAATCAATTGTAAGGAAAGAGCTAATAAAAACACCAAAAACACCATTTGTTATAAAGAAAACCAATATGAAGTTTCATATATGCCTTTTGAATGTTTTGATTTATGGGGCTTACTGTCAGCTTTTCTGAAGTCTTCTTGGAGCATAGCATCAGCCTCATATCCATATTCTGTTTCAGGCACGAGATATCCGCCACCATATGGCGCACTTGGTTGAGTTCAACCTACAAAATAAATGAAATGTATGCTCAGAAAATGTGAAATAGAAACTTAGAGAAGCAAAAAATGTGGAAGAGCTAGCTGCTTTAATATTTTTGTTAATATAATAAATAATACCTTATAAAGTTCAAGATTATTCAACTCTGGCACAACAGTGCATTTACATGATATGGTCACGGATGGTCGCTCTGCATCCGACAACTGAAAAAAGAATGCAACATCAAATGATGAAGAGATCAAAACTGAGTAGAACCCCGGACCCTGGTTGAAAATGGTGGCAASCATACATTATAAACTCATCTGGAAGGCAAAACAAGTACCTTCACATGATATATATCTTTCTCCTCTACAAACACTAGTCCAGTTAATGGAATAACTTTTTGTGTAATGTTTTCCATGTAAGTGTCAGAGATATTTGTATAAAAAGATCTCCTTAACTGTCTCAGTGTTGTTTCAGTAGGCGGCTCATTTCTATCAATTTCAGAGACCCTACATACAAGGATAATTACCATCTTTTAAACAAACGCAACATCTCTAACTTCTCATTGTCCAACAAGGTAAACAATTTTAGAAACAGATATAATGGGAACTTTTGTTAACTAACAAGGGATTGCTCACCCATGAAAAAGAACTTTTCCAACCCTAGCGACCAATCTTGGCTTCACATCTTCATCTTGATTCATTTCATTCTTCACATGTTCGACTGATGATAGTAAGTCAGGCAGTAGATTTTCTACAATAGATACCCATGGTTCTGTTACGATTTCTACTTCCTCTTCTCTATTTCCTATTATCAAGAACAACAAGTCAAATGTCTCCTTTGTTCTGTTTAGAAAAGTTAATTTCTCAATATAAAGTACCAACTACATACAGCAAGCTAAGAGAAACTCCATAACATWGTTCTATACCTTGAGATATATTAGTGTTCACCAAAGCTAGGGGTTTTTCACCCCTTTTATGCTCAATGGACGTCGCAGAAAACGGCTCAAGATGAACACAAGAGGGAAACTGGTTACCATTACCAGAACTACCAATGCTAAACCATTTAAGTACAGCCTGATGAGCATAGACTATCTTTCCACTCCTGTCCACTTCAGATTTAGATGGCTTCAAATCCGATTTTTGGGTGAATTTTGGCCTCAGATTCAATTTTCTGTTGAATTGAGGAACAAGTAACTCTGCAGTAGGAGAAGCCTTCTCCATATCCCTTGAATGACGTTTGTGTGGAGGTATATAGGCCATACAGCAAGATCTCAATGCACAATCAAAGTATCTGAGAACCAAGGAAATAGTGATTTAAAGTGGTTTTACAATGAGAAACTTCAGGTAATTGCMAAAAACAAACTGTTGAGAATATACAAATACAATTAAATATACTAACTATACTCTATTAGTTTAACTTTTTGGGTGCTTGTAATGGTAGTTTAATAGAGTATCAAAACAAAAACAAATTAATATTCAAGCACAAACGAGAGTGTTAAGACTATAATAAAAGAATGAACATATTATAACCTATCCCCTCAAGCCTGACTTTGATTAAGCGGTAGTTTAATACAAACTAAGAAGCTTCTGAAACAGAGATAATAACACCTATGAACAAAATTCTACATTTCTAGATGATGGGTTAAACAAATTAGCTAAAAGAATATGGCTGATCTAAAAACCAAAAAAAGAAGTGGGATAAAAATTATTCACCAACCAGTTCAACCAACAAAGATGCAAAAAATAAGCAAAGAGAAAAAACCCAACAGAAAAAATATATTTTTCTTCAGTTAACTCATGAAACCTACAAGGCAGAGCAATCAATTTATACCAAAAAATGAGTGGGGAAACAGAGAATGGAAAATGAACTGATGACCCAGTATCAGTAAAAGAAAAAGGGAAACTGGGAMACTGGCCTGCCTTCGCTAGCAAGGAGTTGGGAAAGGAAACTTCTTCGTTATAGAGGAAAAGGCTCAGAATCAGGCGGTTTGACTGGCGACGACCCTTTACGTCTTGGGGAAGAAGGAAGGAAATTGAATAAATGGCATTGATTGGATGACTAAAAAGAAAAAAAAAAAATCACTATATTCTCACCGATCTCAATTGAGATGGCATGAATTCCAGTGAAATTTCATTAATCATTTCGGTTTAAATTATTTGCCTCAGATTCATTTAATTCACCTAATTCCATGAATATTTTCATTAAATTTCATAGATTATTGCAAAGTTTCAATCAAGATAAATGCGATTTCTGTTTAAATTGCACTTAATCTTCACCTCGAGATTCAATTTGATACTAAGTAATTTTTATAAAGTGGAAGGGTATTTTTGTAATCACACTCCCACCAAAAGTTAAAAAGGGTTAGAAAAACATTAACAAAATGTGAGAGAGACATTTTTATAAGGTGCGTGTCAATTTCAAGCTTTAACTTTTTGGTATTTGCAAGAGGTAGCTAAATCTTTTCTCATATTTGCAAAAATAACTTCTACTTTTGAATTTTGCAAATATCGCAAATTATTTGAATTCGTGTATTCAGACTTTTTATTTTTTCAATTTTACCCTCTCTTTAGTTGATGTAGCCAGTATGACATAGACATCAAGGTATATAAGTTATAGYTTATACGTCTAATATAGATTACATCAAGGTATATAAATGGGAAATTGACTCAAATGACYTTCAAAAGTTYGTGGAATGCTCAAATGACCCACTTCTTTTAAATGTRTCCAAATGACCTACTGGAATATTTAATTAATTTTAAAATGTAGCAAAATTACAATACTACCCTTTTGTTCAGAAACCCAAACCATTTGCTTTACCTTTCCTCCTTCCTTGCCGTTTTCAACCCAAATTCATCTTCTCGATTTTTCTTCGCAGTCCCTTCGAATTTCTTCTTAATTTTTGTTTCTCTAGGCGATTGGCTTCGATTTTATGTGTGTTGAGGAGTTGAATGGTTGTTTATTTGCGTTGATTCAGTTTTTCGATGTTTAGATGAACGAATACATGTATAATACATGTATAATATTGCATCAATTTAGGTTTTTTTCTGTTGATTTTGTTTTCTGGTGTTTCGTCCCTGTTTTTCTTCGATTTTTCGTTTATGTTGGAATTGAGGTCTGTGGCTGTGGGAGTTTCATTTGAAATGTTTGAAGTGGTGTGGTGGGAGGTTGAAGATGAAGAAGTATTTTCGATGAAGTGGGATGGACCTCGAGCGAGGTTGAAGAGATTTGAAACGTCGCTCAAGGTTTAGTAAGCCTCTGTCATTTTTCTCGGGTTCGACCTCGGGCGAGGTTGAGCCCGAGGTAATTAAAAGAGGCTGAACCTCGAGAAACCTCACTCGAGGTTGAGCCTCTTTCAATTACCTCGGGCTCAACCTCNCGTGAGAAACCTCACTCGAGGTTGAGCCTCTTTCAATTACCTCGGGCTCAACCTCGCCCGAGATCGAACCCGAAAAAAATGACAAAGGCTTAGAAACCTCGAGGTTGCGTCAACTTTTTCTATCACCAACCGTTGACCTCGGGCGAGGTTTCGCCCGAGGTTCATCGTTTCTTATGAAACTCGGTCGGGAAACCATAGCAAACAAAACAGCAAAATTGCTTTTCAAATGTAGTCCAATCTTAAGAAGAAATCAAACACAGCAAAATTAAAGGCAACCAGTTGTGAATTAAATGATTCCCGGGCGGGAATTAATATGACTCCGGCCAAGGGTCGCACATTTAAAAAGGGTGAGTCATTTGAGCATTCCATAAACTTTTGAAGGTTATTTGAGTCAATTTCCCTATATAAATTATAGCTTATATACCTAGTATGGAGTACATCAAGATATTTAAGTTATAGATAATATACCAAGTATGAAGTACTGCAAGGTATATTAATTCTAGCTGATATACCTAATAAAAAGTATAACAAGGTACGTTATAACTGATATACCTATTACGTAGTATATCAAGGTATATAAGTTATATATGGTATATCAGCTATAATTGATGTACTGCATACTAAGTATATCCGCTACAACTTATGTATTTTGATGTGTCASCTATGAATAAGATTTTATATGTCAATGTCAATGAAAATGTTGAGGTCTCAATTTCATCGAAACACTAATTAAAATATTGATGAAATGTTGGTTGTGATTAATTTTTTTAAAATATTATAAAAATAAAAAATTATTAAAAAATATTTAAATTTACATATAAGCATTTCATCCTTTTTAAATAGGTTTAAAATGATTAATATTAATATTATGCCTATATTAGTGATATTTTGTTTATTTTTCATATTTTATCGATTTTTTTGCAATACTATGTAATTTTCGATTTATCCCTCATGTCGATGTCGAACCTATGAATACATGGAAAAATCAATGGAAATGTCAACACGTCTATAATTGATGTGCCTTGAAGGTATATCAGCTATAATTGAAATGCCTTGATGTATTGTATACTAGGTATACGTTTTATGACTGATACACATTAATGTACTTCATACTACATATATTAGCTATAAAATAGATACACATCGATGTACTGCATACTGGGTATATCGACTCTAACTAATATACCTTAATATGCTCTATATTAGGTATAAATTTTGATATACCTAATATCATTTCCATTTCTTTCTCTTGCTCTTCATAGACAAACTTGGGATTTGCCATTCCAGGTAAGATTGGTTCAGGATCATGGGATCATCATAGTTTAGAAGCTCCAGCTCCGTATCAAGATCACGAACGATTATGATAATATATTTATGCAAGATATATTAGGGCTCGTCGTGCACTTGTATGGTCTAGAGAAGCTTACTAAAAAAGGTCATTGAATTTTGAGTAAACTTCAAGAATCAATATACTGAGAGACCAAGTAAGATATACATTATAATTGATGTACTTTATATTATACCGTATATCATCGATTAACTAAYATACCGTAATGTTCTTCCTAATAACCATTTTTATATACAGCTTATTATAGATATTATATTTCACTAGCACAAATCTGAAAAATTACAGCAAATTATCACAAATTTTGGGCTTAAATGGGCGGCCCAAATACCTTCATACATGGCAGCTGGAAATTTTGGGCAAAAAGAGTTCATCAAAGAATAATTATTTACASAAAATAAAATTTAATAAACTAGAATCAACCCAATAAGCATATTACGTAACATTATAAAACTCAAGGGTAAGAGTTTTAATTCATAACTGAAAAAGGCCTTGTAACTTAAAATCTACCAAACAAGATTTATTTCTCCTCACGATGATGAATAAAACTTGTTCTCAAAGCCAATAGGAACATAACGGGTACTTTTCTTTTAAGGTCAAAAGTTCGATCCCCATTTCTCCCAAGAATCCAAATATTCGTGTTACCATATGATAATAAATTCAAATAAAAACAAACTTGTGCAGTTGTTGCAGGCCTGTTCGTCCTCACAAAGAATCAATCCAAAGATCCATCTCAGAAATCCAATCATCCCACACCTCCCTCTTGTTGCAGCCCTGTTGATGATGATCATCCTCCAATGCTTTGAACTCCATTTGCAAATTCCCCAGACTGCCCATGCTATTACTTTGTTGTTCTACAATAATGGGCAAATTCTGATTCTGATTTTGAACCAAAATCATCTCTTGGCTGTTTTCTCCATTAATATTTTGGTCATGGTCTGCAGCACACGTCTTTCCTTTTGCCCTTGATTTGCTGCTCTCTTCTTGAGGATGCTCCCAATTTTGTGGTTTCCCAAAAAAGGCTTCTTCTTTTGTGGGGTTTGCCTGCTGGTCCTCAACTCCTCCTAATTGCCCATTCAGCTTCTTGCTCAAATGGCAATTCCAATAGTTCTTTATATCATTTGCTGTTCTTCCTGGTAATCTTCCAGCAATTACTGACCACCTAGTACACACCAAAAATGTCTTCCTTTTGTTGTTAATCTRACTAATTTTTGTTTCGAAACTCGCGTTTATATTCACATTTTTCTATATGTATACATTGTACGTGGATTTATCGACTATATGAACCTAAGGGTTTGATATTGACATGGGGGTAACAAGGGTTTATAATACAAGTAGATTAATCCTCTTATTATGAATTAATTTTAAGATAAAATTCTATGAAGATTGATATGGTATTAGAGACCAAAAGCTCAAACGAGCACGTGGTCCAAAAATGAGATTCGGCCCCCGATTGGTGAATTCAAAAGAAACACTATTTGAGTGGCATGTTAAGATCCCACATTGAATAGATAACAGACGATTTATAGTATAAATATGCTATTATACCCTCATAATCAATTAGTTTTGAGATTGAACTCTAAAAATATTAATAGAGATCAGTAATCTGGCCTGACAGCCAAAGGTTTTTTTTTTTCAAAGATGGTTACATCAGAAAAGTGGTGACGACGCACCACAAACAAAAGCTACAAAAACGATCATTATACTTGGCCAATAAAACAAATTGCCTTGTTAAAATAAGTACTGAACAAATTTTAGTCCACTAAACACTTTCTCCAAAGTCACAACGTTTTCAATCATATTTTATATGCTAAGTCACAACGTTTTCAATCATATTTTATATGCTATGTTTGAGATGTTATCATTCGATTTCAAAGTTGAGTAAACATATTTTGCTTTCAACTAAATAAATATATTTTGAAAAAGTTTGCATAGAGACATCTTAATTTTCTTGTTTGTTTATTATTAGTTTTTTTTTAACAATTAGTGGTATTACTTTTTTATTCTTTTACTTATTGATTTTACTATTAAATTAAAAATATTTCGTGCATTTGCTTTGGTAGCATTCTAATTATATAAAACTAGGCTTGTTGTACAAGAGATCATCCGGAAAACCAAAGGTTGGGTTGAGTTATACAATTGTTTAGATTGGATTGGTTTTCAAATAAATGAAAACTTTTAAGGTTGAATTAGTTCAAGGCTCCACCTAAAATAAATTTGGGTTGAATCGAACCAACTGAATTTTATTATTAATTTTCAATTTTTTTTAAATTCGCCATAAAATTATACATGCCTTTGCATATATATATATAGATATTTCAATTTTTTTAAACTCACCATAAAATTATACATGCCTTTGCAAATATATATATATAAAAACATGGATATTTCAATTTTAATTTCAATAATTATTTATGCATTATTTATTCTCCAACAACTTTTAAAAGCAATTTTTAAGTTTTTGGTGGGTAATTTTTCACCAGGTAGATAAACATCGACTTACGATTTCGATTTAGTGTTAGAAAATATCTAAATAAACATTTAAGAATATTAGCATTTACTTTCTTATTTTATACAGTATTTTGAATGAGTTACTCGAATAACCCGAACCAATCTAATCCAATTATTCATCGTTRGATTGTATTGGATTCATTATTAATAAAGGTTATTTAAATTGAATAAATTAACTCGAACAATTAGGATAGGTCTAGAAAGTAATTTCGAGAAGAAGTAAATATATATAAGACTTGCCTGTTGCCCAAGAGACTGTGGAGGCTGAAAATGAGGTCTACTTCCTCTGGTGTGAAGCTTCCTCTCTTGATATTTGGACGAAGATAATTCAACCATCTCAGTCTGCAACTCTTTCTGCATCTGTTTAAACCTTTTCAAATCAACCAAAATCCCACTCAGTTCTTTGCAAAATCAAAACCACATCCAAATACATACTTTTTCTTTCATTTCTTTTTTAATTTTTAAGACGTTTATAAAAGATTTACGTTTTCGGTTTTTGTAAATTATGCTTGCTTCCTCGTCAATTTTATTTGATACCTTTGTCATCTCGCTTGAACACACACGTTTAGAACTTTAGCCAAATTTTATAAACAAAAGCTATATTGTTTGAACTTTGAAAATATTTTTAAAAAGTAGATAACAAAATAAATAAACATAAACATGAGTAGAAATTAGTGGTTATAAATTTAATTTTACAAAACACAAAAAATCAAAACAAATGTGTCTTGTTTTAGTTTCTCTACTTTTAAATWTTGGGGATGTAAATATAGTCTTATTATCGATGAATTGTGGAAGATATGTTAGCTAGGTACATAAATAAAATCAATATCTTAATTGGAGCAGAGCATTTCGGATAAAATCTAAAAGTAAAACCATGCAGACACTATTAGGTAAAAAGTTGGCAATATCATACCGTTATAGAAATACTCTTATTTATTTTAACCTCTAAATTTTTAGGTAAAAATCTATTTTAATTACTATTGTAATTACCAAGTATAGCTTTGACACCTAAACTATTACTATGGACATCTAACATGACTATTTACTATGTTAAGCTTCTATTAAATAATTATACGAGTTAATAGTAGGACTAAAATGAATTTTAATTTTCACGAAAATTAAATTAACTAAAATTGAATCTTTAAAAGTAAAGACTAAAATAAAACAATTAGGAGATGAAAATAGAACCCCTAAACCTAGCAACAAAATCAACAAGTGCTCGAGCTCAAACGTATACCACTCAAACCTAACTAAAAATTTACTATGTACAAAAATAGTCTTATCCAGCTAAGAATAAGACATATTAATTTCACCACTTATTTAAGTTAATTTCTATATTAAATTTGATTCACTCATTTAAGATTATTATAAAATAAAATAAAAATAATATGATGAAATAACATACTTATTTTGGTGTTAATAACGTCCATGCTAAATCAATAGTTCATGCAGGACGATGGTAAGATATTATTATTTAGCCCTTATTTCGTTATTAGTTTTCTATTTCTTTTAGGTGTTCTAAAGCCTTTCTATCTCTAAGGAAAAAAAAGGTAAATTTTGTGATATATTTTTTAAGGAGYAGTACTTTTAAACTAKAGATGCCAAATTATAAATGGAGATGAACTTGAAAACCAAAACTATTTATTTAAGAAAAAATATTACCTATTTTGAATAGAGTAATATGACACTTATTTATCGAAATTAATTACTTATTAATATTTTTTCAAAGTAACTTATACACTAAAATATAATTTTTTTAGTTTATTGTTTTTTTTCCCCTCACGAATCAGAGAAATGAATCTAAAAATCAATTCTGAATGAAATTGATTCCTAATGAACCCTTTGAATTGATTATTATTTTTACATTCAGTGAATCAAATTTAATTTTGAAGTTCCAATTCCATTAAACTAAATTCTAAAAGTAGTGATATATATATATATATATATTTATTTATTTATTTATGAAAAGTAATTTGTGACTATCCAGAGGTGTGTTTAAGCAGTGACATTAATATACTCTATTAGTTGGTTGCTCATGAATAACTATTTGTTTTAGTTTTGGGAAGATCACGTTTAGGATTTCAGAAATTTGACACAAAGTAGCCATTTGTTTCTTTAAGAATATAGATAGATGTCTAGAATCTCATATGTCCGGAATTTTAGATGTTCAGAATTTCAAATAACCACGTTTGTTTTTAGGAAAATTTATAAGGATATCTGAGAATATTTTTTATAACCACATTTGTTTTGCAGGGTTTATTTGTGAGAATATTGTAAATTKATGTAATATTYCAAAAATGTCCTYACCGGTCGTCATATAATTTATATATTAAATTTAATATTATTTGAATTCATATAAAAATCGTACTTTTATTAATTTAGTATTATATTTTTATGTCAATTTTTGTTTATGTTTGATGACTATTGATCAAAGAGTAAACTAAACGAAAGATTGCATCCTAGATTTGAATTAAAAATAAATTAAGATATTATACAATTGACTAATGTTTATTTTATATCTAAATGTAGCATATAAATAAAATTATATTTAGACATTTATCAATGAATTAGTGTATACATTTATTTTTAAAATAAGATAAAATAAATAAGAAATAAATATTATTGATGAAAAAATATTATAGAAGAAAAACGATGAGGGACAAAAGTCAAAAGAAGATGTCCTCAACGCGGGAATCTTAGAAACTCATGTTACACAAGGGCATCTAAAATACTCAGATGCCTCCCATATAGGCATCCTAAGATGCCCGGGCATCTAAGAGTGCCCGAAAATCCTACATTCCTATCAAACAAACACGAATATCTAGATGACCATCCCATGAAACAAACSGCCCCAAAGAGATAATAACAGTTTAAATGAACTCAACTTAAATATAGCTCAACCGATGGATTAAGACGTTAGTTCTAAATCTGAAAATTCACGCATTTTTTTGAATGGTAATACCAAAAAAAAAGAAKCATTGGCAAGAAAAATCAATTTAAAATGTGTTCCATCTATCCACTCCATCGAATTTTTTGGCCTAGCTCATCCATCTGAACATTTAAATACCGATGTTAACGACAAAGCCTTGTTAGAATCATCAAAAATCCAAAAACTATTTGAACTGTTAAGAGTTATACGACATTTGAGCTGAAATACCAAACTTATAATTAATTTGAAGGGATGATTCTTTTATCCTTTTTCTTACCAACTTTGTAAAACTGTTCCGCTATCTAAAACGATGCCGTTTTCAGTGCTAGGCAGTATTATTTTTGGCACAGATGTTCAGAACTTCTGGTCCAAATAGAGCTGAATCAAAGACAGAAGAAACACAGCCACAGAGCTCCCAAAATCTCACACAAGGCAAAACCCATAAGACAGCAAGTGTTTGAAGAAATGCCTAAAATAGACAATGCAATTTATAACACACACCACATGCAGCATTTAAAGCCCCAACAGCTATGTGACACACATGCATCATTGCATTTTGTCTCTTGCAAGGACCATCTGTCCTTCTTGTGAATTCAATTTCATTTATGAACTCATCCCATATTTTGCCTCTATATCTCTCTTTGTTGAAAGAGATGTTAGTCGACCCGGGTCATTAGGTTGGATCAATCGGGCTTGTTCGGCTGTCACTAACTCAATTATTTAGGTTGTAAATTTGTCGAATTCTGATGATGATGGACATTGACTAATCAATTAGTGTTTCTATTTTTTTTACCTAAGAGGACGTACAAGTGTGGGAGAAATACTCTTCTATCTCGAAATTTATTCTTCAAGTCGAAAATTTGAGTTTTTGTTAGTGAAGAAGCTAGCTAGTCCTATGGAAAATTTGAAATCTTTAGTCAATGACATGAAAAAACAATGTATTCTTAAATATCACATTAAAAATTAAACTTGTATATAATCAATTTTACTAAGATAGGTTATGTTTACAAATTTACAAATTCTTAAATTTGCAAACTAGCTCTATGGGTGAGTTCATTAATATGATAGTTTTGTAATTCCTTCAAAGAAAAGTTAGTGTAATAATAATAAAATTAAATAGTAGTTCAACCTCATACGTTTTATGTTATGAAAAACATTATATTACAAGAATTTGAACCAATTAGGGTTTTGGGCCAAGAGTGTGAAAAAAAAAGGACAAAAACCCCTCAAGTGATATGAAATGAGGAGTAGCTACATACCCATAAAACAATAAATCGAGTTCATAATCCGAACCAAATCTAAACATCGAGATTAAACCGATCGAGTTTCTCGCATCCTCGAGTCTCGAACCCTTCTTAACAGGGCAAACGCCAAGTAATTTTAGTAGGGTTGGAGATCATAGAATAGCACAACACAAGTTTTCTAAATAAAAAAAAAGCATATGATCATAGRAAAGCAAAATAGAAACTTACCAGCCAACTGAGGAACTCGATGCCATTTCCCTTCTCCATATTGCTCAATGCATTTCTTGAGTAAGTAATCTTCTTCTTCAGTCCAAGCAACGCCTCCCATTTCTCTTCTCTCTTCTTTTTTTCTTCTCTTTTTGGTTATGTGTTTCTGTTCTTTTGGTTAAGGCTGAAAGCAATATAAGGCCAATAAAGAGAGTTATTATGGCGAAGAAAGAATGCAAAATGGTCCATATTTCCTAGACACTCGGGCCATGTGGATGTTTTTGATGAGGCAGTATGAGTATAGCTTTGTGCTCAGTCATTTTCAAGTAAGCAAACAAATACCAAGCCTTTTTAACCTTTTTTTTTCCTCCAAAGTAATTAGTTCTTATTTCATGTCTATAGATATATGTGTATATATATATTTTTTCTTTTAACAGTAGTTCTGATCATAGGTTAATGCCCTTGTGTCTTCATGAAAGCTATAGTTTCCTTGCCCAAATGGTTTAGGAATTAATGCATAAGAATGTTCCTACAATATTTTTGGCCTATAATTTTGGGCATCCTCACAAAATGTGGAAGAGGGCACTCAAATTGGTATGTTGAGACATCTACAATAGAGAATCAAGAGAGTGAGATCAATTGTTCTCTCCATATTAATTAGGTGGATTTACCACTTTTTAGTTAACTCAAGCGGCAAGTTTGAGTGTTTAGGTTTTGAATTGGTCTAGGAAGTCCTAGTTTCTAGGAAAGTTAAGAGGTTCTTATTTCCAGTTAAGTCAATTTAAGTTGACTTTCTATTTTTAGTTTTGCATTTACGTGGTCCAGTTATGGAATGAATTAAATTTAAACTCTACATCCCTCATTTTTCTCTAAAAATAAGAACTACAGGTATCATAATCCTAAGTGATCTGTGAGTGAGAATTAGTGAAATACCTYTGAGTGAAACCAAGAGAAACCAAGCAATACATCTGTGAGAATTGTGAGAGAGATGAGACATTTTCATCGGAATGAGTTGCAGTAGGTGTACCAGTTAGGACTCAATTTGGGAGCAAACGAGTATGAAGCAGGTAGAGTAGAAGAACAGTAATCTCGAGGGTGAGAATTTGCTTGAGAGTGTGTGTCAAATCCGAACAAGGAATTGTGTAAGGAAAATCAGCTTACCAGCTCGATTAGGGTTCCCCTTCCCCTTATAAAAATAGGAGTGGGTGAGAGAGGTGGAACAGGGAGGACAACCAATCGGGGCGTGTGTACCCCTCCCAACTTTATGTGTCCTTTTACTACCCATTGCAGAGAGGTGCGCAGTGGTGTCTGGGGTATGCTCCTCACACCGTGCCAGACACCTAGTGGGTAAGTTTGTTGGCACCTCTAACCACATTGGGAGCTTCCGTACATTACGCTCGGCCTTCCCTTTCCYGTGCACTATGAACTCTATGTGGGTTGATGAAGTTCGATGCGTCCTCGTAAGGTAGTTCCACAAGGCGCTCTACGGTTTTCCCTCAACATATTATATTGTTAAATTATTTGTGAGATATAAGGTTGTGATCGTTGAATTGTTAATGGTAGAATATTACTGTGAATTCTGTTTGTTTACAAGTATATTCATTATGGTATATAAATTTGGGGTGATGGATTGTGTTAGAGGTGGACTGTTGTTTAGATTGCATCCTTTTGTTTGTTGAATATACTTGTCAATAAATTTTATACAGGTTTTATAGGTATTTTAGTGTGGTATGTCCAAATTTTTATAATATTTTAGGATAAATATATATTTTAGTCAATAATGTTTGGGCTTTTTTTTCAATTTAATTCCTTCGGTTTAAAATAATTTAGTCCTTCTATTCTATCTTTTACATTTTTTAAGTTTAGTATGCACTTGGTAAATGTTTAAATTTAGGATGCACTTGGTAGGGGAGGAAAAAATTATCTAGGAGAATAAAACTCAAAACTTGAACCAATTTGCCAATCAAGGTTCGAAATGTCGATGTCCCGRTATTACGAAATGTTGATGTCTAACAAATATTTGGGTAAAAATCACAGAAATTGTAGATATTGATGCAAATTTTTTGAATAAGTAAATAAGTCTTCAATTGTAGCTTAATTAACCTATAATTGATCACTTTTAACCTTCAAGATATATGCCAATTACGAGCYATGCTCGCTTTGTCCCTTCATATCTAAATATATAAATAATATACTTATGAAAATGTAGTGTACAAAATGTTGTTTAATTATATTTTATTACATAATTGAATAAGATACGTAAAATATTGATAATATATAAAGGATGAATTAGAAATTCACATATAACATGCTATTTGGTCCATTGACCTCAAAATCTAATAGGGAGAAATTTATTGTACTGCTAAGTTACATATACTAACTCTTCAATATCAGTATTAGTAAATAACCTCAAAATTTATTTATTTTTTATTAACTTTTTTTTAGTACAACATGTGGGGTGGTATATGTCAATTACCGCTGAGCTATGCTCGTTTTGRCAACCTTAAAATTTATCGTACTCACGTAATTATTAATATATTATTTTATTATAAAAGGTTCATACTATTTATTTACAAACATGCTATATGATTTCTTAAAAAAGAATATTATGTTACTAATAAGATATTGATATARTATTGATATATAATTTAAATAGCATATTTTTTAGTATTCTTTTACAGTATATTGTACAGTATATTATTTGAGGGGAGGAGTTAATCAACTTAAACTAATATCCACACTTATTTATTAATTACTTTTATGATTTTTTTTTGTACAATATCTTAGGGTGGGGATYGAACTCACAACCTCTTGCTTGTACATATATATCAATTACTGCTGAGTTATACTCGCTTTGACACTTTAATGTATTTTATACTAAGTCGATTTAATAGTTATATTTATCTTGCCTTGCCATTATAATGTGCTTTGATTTTTATGCTCCTATACTTGGGGTAAGCGCATTGTCCTCATACCCGTACATATGCAAGATATCATTGTTTGGTTGGAGTTGCATTTCATGTGGCTTGAACCCAGGACCTCAAGGATATTCCTTGAAATTTAATTTTTATTTGAAATTTAATTATTTAAGTTTAGCCTCCTTAAATTTGTTTTATATCAAGACGTAACTATATATGCCAACCTGAGAATAGCTCAAC